ATGAATAATATGCACAGGAAAAGGTCAATGTCACTAGTCATCAGGAAGTGCAAGTTAAATCAATGAGATACTGCTACGCACTCACTAAAATGTCTAAAATTAGAGAGGTAATAACAAGCATTGCAAAAATGTGGAGGAACTGGAACTCTCATGCATTGCCAGTGGGAGTTTCAAGTAGTTCAGCAACTTTGGAGAAGAGTTTGGCAGGTTCCCCTAAAGTTAAACACACCCTTACACATAATCCAGCCATCCCGCTCCTACCTAAATATGAATGCTCATCATCTCCTCATCAAAACTGGCAACACCTAAATGTTCACCAGTGGGTGAATGGATAAACAAACTCCGGCCCCTACATACAATGGAAATTATTCAGCAATAAAAAGAACACAGTCCTGATGTGTACCACAACCTGGAAGAGTCTCACAAACCTTACCCCCAGACAAGGAAGCCAGACACAACAGTACTACTTACTTGTGGTGTGTGAGGAGGGCCATGTGAGGACTGAGTGGGAAGGGACACACAGGGACTGTTTGAAGATGGGATGTTGTCTATCTTGACTGAGAAGCATTTGTTAAAATTCAGTGAACTACCACATATTGCCATATATAATGCATACTTTTGCCCACATTATTGAGAGAAAAATAAGGATGCACATTATACATGGGTTGTACTAATTCTGTATCTACATAAATGTTTTTAATTCTTTTATTTATGCTTATGCATCAAAAGTGTAATTCTAGAAAGCAACAAATATATCCATATGCTAAATAACACCCTGGAATATAATAATTGCTTTTTTCTAAATATAAATAAATAAAAAATTGAATTGAAAAATTAAAATGAAAGATTTTTTTTTCCCCTGAAACTTTGGGCCAAAAATGTGGGTGCTTACTACACACGGGAGCATATTACACATAGCAAAACATGGTACACACTTGCAAGTGGTGCATCTTAATTTTTTAATTATATTACAATAAAGTTTTTTGTTTAAAAAATTGTATATAGAGACTTTCAGTGAAAGATGGTACATTGATTGCATACATCTTTCTCCAAGCCCCCACTCAATGATAATAAAGAAAAAAAGAGCAAGCAGGGGGCCCAATTTCAAAGATGTGAGCAAATTGAAAACAGAGTGGGAACTGACCCAGCAGGGGATGGGTCACTCGACCTAGAGCACCGGCACTGGGCGAGCTGGCCAAAAGAATGAGGCCGGTGACTGGGAAATGCCAGCGTGAGGACGGGCAGCAAGACCGTGACTGCAGAGGAAGAAACTGAATATCGTAAGTGGGACAGTTGGTTCCCTTCCGCACCATGCTGTGGCACAGAAAGCAATCCAGTACCCCCTCCACCACCCCAAAGGAACCATCAGTGTGTTCCACTCGTAAACACACACGCACACCAAGATACAGACATATAGGTGTAAAGGACCCAGACAGATTCACAGGAACTCTCCATAAAAGTGAATCAAACTAAAAAAAAAAGAAACAAAAGATAAGGAACTCAAGGCTCAATCCAGAAACTCCATAGCCTAATATTAGGAATGTACTAGGACTCAAAAAGTTTACCTCCTTTACACCAAGTTTTTGGCAGTTTCTTGATGTACCGCACCCAAACAGAAACATAGATAAAGGAAGACACAGAATCCATGACCAGGAGGAGCCGAGGCAGGAAGCGAGCGAGAGGAGGGGTCAGTGGGACCACGCAGCCGGCTCAAGGGCCGTGGGTCCAAAACAACAGCACAAACTCGCTGGATACCTGATTGGGTGAAAAGGTGGCATGAAGGAGAGGACTTGATAAAGACAAAACAGACAATGAAAACCGAGGAAAAACAGAGCTGTCCAGGCGGCAGAGGCACTCTTGGAGCACTTCTTGACTCCGCCATGGACCGTACTGGACACAGCCACAGTGACAAAAACACGGTTTACTGGTCCTTCATTTTCCAAATGAACCTGTAGGAAAGGTGGAAAGCGTAACTGTTGTTGCGGAACCCCCTGTAAACACTGACATCGAAAAAGCCGAAGTACTGTGGACAGCAGTTGACCTGTGGAGTCTGAGGAGGAAAGCTGGAAGAGGTGGTGGGGTGTGTTAATAGCCTCCCTATAGAAAAGGAAGGGTCAAGATAACGAAGATCAAGAGATCAAGACTAAAAGGACATATCTGTTGCTTACAGTAAAAAGTAACCAGCAGAGAAATGACCACCATGGAAGAGACAGGGGAGAGAAGCTGTGGCGTGAGAGCAGGAAGTCTAGTGGGCAATGTCTGACACTGCGGAGCAGGAACCATGGTGGACCGTGTCAGCTGGAGGTGCAGGCTGGCGTGACCCCCAGAAGCAAATGCTAGAAGGGCCAATAGTAGCTGCCTCTGAGGAACAGGACTGGGGACACGAGGGGTGGACAACAGCTCTGCTTCTCATCTTATGCAACTCTCTACACCATTTTTATTTAAATATGTGCACATGTTATTTCGCTAAATTAAAAAAAATTAAAAGAACTGCATGTGGTATATGGTTGCCATTAATATAAAACATATACAAATAAATTCAGAGAGAAAGGACGTGAGGGAAATACAGGAGCTACAACTGGGTGGAAATTATAGAATGCTAGTTAGCCCCTTTAAACTCTTCCATCTTTCCACAATGAGCGTCCATTATTTTTAAAACAGAAAAAAACATGTTATATAAAGAATCATAACAATGTTTAGGGACAAATTTTAAATGATATTGGAAATGAGGTGAAGGAAACAAAATTGAATATAAAAATGCATTGAATTACTTAAACAATATCCATGAATGTAGAGAGATTTAAAAATATATTAACAGTAATTATCTTGGTGGTGGAATTATGGGTGACTTTTGCCACCTTATCTTTCCTTTTTTTCCCCAATATTTTTTTTTATAATTAGCACATTAAAGCAGTTTGGGCTGGAGAACTAAATTTGATCTCTCCATTGACTTCAGACCGAAATAATTATGTAATGCCTGTGTGTCACGCTGACACCAAAAATGCCCTCAGGGAACACGTGTGCCATTAACCAACCTCAGTGTGAAGCAGGTCCTCGGGTGACTTCTCCTAATGGACCCATTGGCCTTCGGTCACTCATTCAGCATTCTGTGCCTACTGTGTCTAGTGACCCGCAGAGGCTGCGTGGGTGTTGGCAGTGGAAGGTGCCAGCAGACTTGTGCGGAAGATGAGTTTGCAGAAGAGAATAAATACCCACATGTGAAAACAGATGGAAAACAGCCCACAGCTACAGCAAATGGCTACATCCAGCCTGAAGACATGGGTATCCATCCAGGCCAGCCCCACACCCCCGCAGGCTCCTTCTCCCATCTCCTCAATGCCCACTTTCCACTCCTGCCACCTAAATCCAACAGAGACCCTGGGAAGCCAGTTCCCTCCTCCTCTGCAGCCCCAGGAGATGAGAGCCCTCCGGATGTGAGAGAGGATGAATAGCAGCAAACACCTGGGATTCCTTACCACCCAACCACACCTGATAGGCTTAATCAGTCTTCCCGAGGAGAAGTGAGAAAGCCGAGGGGAGCGAGATAAAGAGCACCCTTGGCGTCCCTGACAGTGCTCTCCAAGGGAAGGCTGAAAACTCACCAGTACGTTCTCCAGCTAAGTCCATTCCCCAGGACTTGCTGATGACTCTAGCCAAATTTGCTGGTTCCCAAGAGACTGTCAACAATAAGAAATGCGTGGCAGGACATGGACCCACAATGGTTTTTCATTTCTTTGGCAACACCTATCTCCACCTGCAATTGCATCAAGACCAAAGTAAATGGAACAACATAGTAAATTCAACTGTCGCCCGAGGCACCATGACACGACAGAAATGACATTCTGATCTTGTGTCGGAAGATGCAAAATTTCAGAGATCCAAAAATTTGTTACAGAACTCAAACTTCTTATCTATACCCACACTGAAGATATAAAATGGTCTGGCTTTTAGAAATTAAGGTAAAGAGGGTTTGTAGAGAAAATATACTTGGAAAAAAATGACTGATGTGCTATGAGTTCCATCCCTTCCAAGAGGGTGGGTGAAAGGTACCTGCCCCTTATCTCAAATCTTGTGAAAGCATTTTCAGAGAGCTTGGTATGAGTCCCTATGATTGGCTGCAGAGGGAGGAGGGAAGAAGGGGTGGGATACAGAGGACCAGTGTTGTTAGATTAACCTGGAAATCTAATCGGCAGGGAGAGATGGACTGGCTGAAGGAGAGAGTTCTGCAGCCTGGGGACTGACCTATGAACCCCCAGAGTGTGTCTGGGCAGGGACACCTGAATGTTTCCATTGGACCCAGTGTGAGCCAATCATGCAAGAGAAAGCAGGTGTGGTCACTTTGGACCTTGCCTGAAATAATCTCCAGACCCTAGGGGCTGTGGGAGGAATGTGGTAATGAGCTGGAGGAGGAGAGGGGCCGCCCTGGACAGCAGAGCTAAGGGGTAGGCCCTAGTGGTGGGGAGCCTCCTACCCACACAACCACATCAGAGAGAAAATATCCACCTTCCCTGCTGCTGTCCAAGTAAGAGCCTCCATGCCTCTCTCCTCTCTCCTCCCCTGCCTGCTCCAACCCAAGCAGGACCTTAATTCTGACTGGGGAGCTAGAGACCAAGGAACTGAGACCAAAAGAAGAAACGCCTTCCCCAACCACAGCTTCTGCCAGCAGCAGCCCTGCCTTGCGGAGACTGGTTATTGCAGGGCCCTGAGCGTTCGAATATCTGGGCTCCGACAGTGTGACTGAGATGACTGCGGGGCTTTTATTATCGAAGGGGGAGCAGAAAAGTCACAGAACTGCCCGCGTTTTCATTCGAGGAAAAGGGAAGACCTTTCCTCCAAGAACACACTGAAAAGGACAATGGAAAGGAAAACAGCATTGCTTCTCGCTGATATCTCAAGGGCCCTAAATGTTCCACATCCGCATCGCTCCTTCCTCCGTGGAACCCACTGCTCCTCCAAAACCGAAGAGCTCCCCACCGTGGAACTCAGTTTCCCCGTCCTTTCCCTGGAGCCATCGGCCGGCGAAAGAAAGTATTCCGAGGACAAAAGAGGAGATGCCAGAGAAAGCAAGGAGCATCATGCATGCAGCACACCCTACAAAGGGAGGTGTAAGGTTGGTCAAGCCTCCATTACCATTTTCAGGACCAGGAAACTCTGCAAGCACCAAAACAGGAGGTCCAGAAAGTTCTACCAGCTCTGCCAGCAGCATCAAGGGAAAGTAACCATGGATAGAATTGTGATGGGTGGGGGAGAAGAGAAAAATGAAACTAACATTTCGGTGAGCACTTTACATGTGCTGGTAACTTTTACACACATCATCTCACTTAATTTTTGCCATTGTCACGCAGGGAAATGGCGTTATCCCCATTTGGCAGCGGAGACGCTGGGACTCACAGAAGCTGAGTGACTTGATCCTGGATGCCGTGGGTTTGTAGAGCCCATCCCCCTTCCACCACACCAGGCTGCGTTTCTATATTGGTAAAGAGTTAGGTAGTGACTCTAATGGGCAATGCAACGTGAGAGGCTACGGAATGCTTGGCTGGTGGCTCATTAAGTGATGCCAGAAAACCAATACAGAAAGACAGTGTGTGAGGTGGGTCAAGCCCTTCAAAAGGAGTCCTTCCCACAGCTCTGCCAAGGGCAGCAGATCCCAGACCCCCAACCCTCATCTCCAACCACTGTGCTGATTTTTCCAATGGCTCCCAGCCTGGACATGGGCCAGAAGCCTATAAAGGGATCTTGTATCAATCAGGGTTCCACAGAGAGACAGAACCAATAGGAGAGGGAGAGAGCGAAAGAGAGAGAGAGATTATAAAAAATTGGCTAACACTACTATGGAGGATGAGAAGTCCCAGATGTGTCGTTGCGAAGGCAGAGACCCAGAAGAGCCAGTGATGAGGTTACAGTCGGGGTCCAAAGGCCTGAGACCCAGGAGAGCTAACGGTGTTAATTGCCAGGCCCAGGGCGGGAAATTCCACTCAAGTCATCAGGCAGACCAGGTCCTTATTTACTCAGCCTTTCGTTCTATTCAGATCTCCAGCTGATTGGAAGAGACCCACCCACAAAAGGGAGGGCAATTGGCTTTACTCGGTCTCCCCAGTCAAATGTTAATCTCATCCAAAAACACCCACCCAAACACAGTCAACATGTCTGACAAAATGTCCGGTTACCCTGTGACTCGGTCAAGTTGACACATAACATTAACCAGCACACATCTGGAACAAAACCTCTACCCAAACGGGACAATGAGGATTAACCAGACCCATTAGATTCTCTCCAATTCAGGGCAAGAGTCAGAAACCAGTGCGGCAGCAGAAGCCAGCAGATACCCAGAGAAGCCGTGGTGCAGACCCATGAGTAAGCGGAAACTGGGGAAAGCAGCAGCTGGGAGACGGAGAAAAGATATTGGCCACAGAGTGTGAGCTGGTTGATGGGCAGGGGCAGAGGATCTCCGAAGCGGCAAGAGAGCAAGAATCCTGGCTGCCCAGGAGGCAGTAAGCCATCCGGTCCTAGAGGATAGCCTACCCCGTTCCTGAACCATATATTCTGAGACCCAGGGGGTCTGGGAATGCCGCCGTTCTCACCTTCCCAGGAGATACCTATCTTCCTTTAAAACAAGCATCAGAAAACTTAGGCCCACGGGGCCGATCTAATCTGCCACCTGTTATTATAAATAAAGATTAATCGCAACAGCCACGCCCTTGGATTTCAGTGTTCTTTACAGCTGCTCCCACACCGTCATGACAAATTTGAGTCGTTGTGACAGAGACCATGTAACCCATAAAGCCTGAAATATTTGCGATCCGGCTCATTACAGAAAGTTTGCCTTCAGGTGACATTTATTATTGAAGTCTGTCCCTATGCCAGATACTGGTGTTCTCAAAGCTTTACTGACAAAATCTCACTTTCACTCACAAAGCCTCTGGGAGGTTAATGCAGTCCTTTCATTACCCAAATTTTGCAGATGAGGAAACAAAGGCTTAGGAAGGTTAAGTAACAATTTGCCCCAGGTCACATACGGTAAAGGCAAACTCGAGCCTCACAGCCTGACTCTGGATTCTGTTCGTTTCATTTCTGAAGCCGCACTGCCATCCTGCTATGTAGCTCCACTGTAAATACCTCGTTAGAACACAAGCATTTTTATGTCAGAAACATTTGTTTTGAAAGATAGCCCTGAAAGAATGTTTTTAACATTTTTACCCGGAGCAATGTCCAAGAACCGTGTGCAGTGGGGTGGCGTGTCTGCTGATGGGTTGATCGGCCAGCCTGTGTGGCAGTGGGTGCCTCACTGACACTCCCGTCCCCGGGAGCTGGGCAGAGCTGGACAGAGGACAGTGGGCCGTCCTGGGGACATCTGCGAGGCTGTGGTCTGTCCCCAGGAGGGCATATCATTGCTAGTAAACAGCCTTCTATCGCACTGAGAGGAGCCAAGGGGTGACTCCTTGCAATCAAGAGTCTAATGGGCATTCAGAGGAAGGTGTACGATGTGCCCCCACCAAAAAATAAAAATAAAAAAATAAAAAGAGCTAGCTAGTAAGACCACATCAAAGCAGCGAAAAATGAGGAAATCCGTGCGTTGTTTTGGGTTTCAGCTTCCCCTCACAAGGTCAAACTCTAGGACTTGATTATTGCTTTCATGAGGGCACACAGGGGCGACACTGAAATATTTATGTGACAGCTGTGTGGCACAGGTACCCATCAGCCAGAAATGTGGGCAGAGACCCCCTGCGTGCGGTATTAAGGCCTCGACGACTGGGTCTTGCAGAGGTGGGACAGGGTCCTGGGAGAGGCCCCAAGCAAGAGGCTGGGTTGGGACCCTACAGAGAGGTAGGGGCACCAGCCTTTACCCACTGGATGGAAGCGTTTCCTATTTTGACACAATATGGCCAGACCCGTGCCTCTGAGCTGAACAGAAGCTCGGGATGGAAATAGTCACAGACTTTGACCCCAAAGATCATTTTGATTCATGTTTTCCCAACATACCTGATCATATGAATCATCTGATGTGCTGGTTAAAAATGCAGCATTCTAGAAGTGCTGGAAAACTGTATTTTTGCATCCACCCTAGAACTCTTAACATCTGATATGTTCAGGAGACAGTAATCTAATCCAGAGTTTCCCAAACATCTCTGGTGACAAGAAACAAATCCCTGGGCCCATCCCACCCTTTCTGAATCAGAACTTCCAGGAAAGGGGCCTGGGAAGTCGCATCACTCAGGGAGTGAGGGGGCACCAGTTGTGCCCCTTCACACTCTTATAACACACTGGGTTGGTGGTGCAGATGGGGCCAGAACCGAAATCTCCCAACTGCCCCAGGGACAGGAGCTTGTCCTCCCACAAGCTCCTCTCTCTCTCTCTCCTTCTCTCTCCCTCTCTCTCTCTCTCTCTCCCTCTCTCTCTCTCTCTCTCTCCCTCTCTCTCTCTCCTCCCCCCCCCCACCTAACAAGGTAGAATTTGGTGAGGTAAGTATTTTGACCCTTACTTTACAGAGGAACCGGGAACTGGTAAAGGGACCTATTCAAGATCCAACGACTCAGACGCGGTGGATCCAAGTTTTCAAGCAGGTCCTCCTGCCCCCGAGTGCGGGCCCCTGCGGGCCCCCACTTCCTCTCCCACCAGCACCACCTCTGCTGCAGGAGGTCTGCCGAGATTCAAGCACACCTGCGAGAAACAAATACACTTCCCCTCAGTTACAACTGCAAAGGAAACAAAAAGCCTAGGTCAAAGTGAACCCTTGGGCAAACTTCTGCACTGTTCTTTAGTTAGCTGATTGCTTCCCCCTAGCCTTCTAGAAAGATCTTAACAGGTTCTATTTATAGTTGACCCAGAGAGCACCAGCTCCCTCCTTCTTTGGGCTCCTGAGGCCCCTAGCATTAGGCTATCACAGCTGCCATACTCTGAGTGTGGGCAGAATGGGGATTAAAAACTTTTTTGCTGGTTACCCAAAAGCCTTGATAATATCACACCATCTTTCGCAGGCTGTGCTAAGAGGAAACCACTTCCTCTCTCCCCTGAGCTGCTTGCATATTTAAAAGTTAATTGCCCAAACCTCTGCTCTGTTGACTTAATTGCCTCCCTGTTTAGCTGACATCACCCTCCTCTGGCCTATGGTGGGAATAGGAAGGAAAGAAAGGCAAGGGACCCCCCACAGCTTGGGGACCACCACATGGTGGCTTCTGAAGGCTGCCCCCTTGGGCTCAGCCTCTACCCACACATTTTCCCTTCCACCCTGGAGGCTTACCTCCTTCCAGCAGGTCCGGCCCTGTCTCTGTGGTCGGTAGTCATGCTTGAAAGCCATCCAGAAATAGTGACGAAATGCCCTTAACAGCCATATTTCCATAGTCTCTGCTAAGCATGGTGTCTCCCATAAATGATTCATGGGGGGACTCTAAGTGCATTTTATTTTCTAATACCCATCTCTCTCTGCCAGTCCATTATAGATGAACTAAGATACAGAAGAGTGGTGAACCCTTATGAAAGATTACCCCCCGTGTGCCCAAAATGACCATGCTGACCTTAGCAATATTAATCCCTGGCCCAGTTTTTGCTGAATATGTCACACCCCCCCGCTCAGGTCACCGGGACTCTGGTTCAGTGTATCTTTCCATCTGTATTAAGTAACTGGCATATATATTTTTCAATCGTGAGTGTGCAGACACAATCACCACACTTGGGTCCTAGAATCGAAAGATGGCAGGAACTGTCCAAAGGTCTTCTAATCCATCCCCTTGCATCTCCCAAGGCATTGGCTAACTCACTCTAGACAGACTTATGTGTAACTTGTTGTTTAAAAGAAAACCAAAATAACAACAGCAATAACAAAAGTGTGAACCCCAGAAAGAAGATGTGAAACCCTTGTCTGTCGTCTGATTTGGTGCCCAGCGGGTCTCCGGAAGGTCCTCACACCGCTGTGCTGGACTTCCTCCTTTTTCTTCCCTGTAGACGGACAGCAGCCCACCAAGTGAATGAGGCTGGTGTGCCATGAGTAAATTACGAGACGGCGCCTGTGCTTACACTTCTATTTTCCATCAAGGCGTCTGTTGATTTAATTGATGCCCTCTGCCTTCTTTAAAGGTTACTCTGATATTTAGCAGGGTGTTGGGAGAGGCTGAGGAGTGATCGATGGTACCTGCCTTCACTCTTCTCCATCATCACTGTCACCATACAAGTAGAAACCTTTGCAGCCTAGCCTCCACCTATCCGGAGCTGCTTAGCTTGCTTAATTGTATGGAAAGCCTCTGGTGAACCAACAATAGTCAGACTTAATGATCTCTCCTTGGTTCTGATATGGCTTGAACTCTCTAAACACTCATTTGAGGAGCCCTTAAAGGAACCAGAGTTATACGGCTTGGATGAGAAGACCCTCAGGGGAACAGGATACCGGGTTTAAGAACTTGATTTGCTTGGAATGCCCCTGTGTTTGTTTTCTATCACTGTTATAACAAATACAGTGCCTTAAAACACAAATTTGTTATCTTTGGCTTCTGAGAATCCAAGGTCCTAAAATTAAGGTGTCAGCAGGCTGTCGTCCTTCCTGGAGGCTCTAGGGGGAAATCTACTTTCTTGCCTTTTCTAGTTTCCAGAGGCCCTTGGACTCCTCCTCCGTCCTCAAAGCCGGCAATGGCTGGCCAAGGCTTTCTCACATCACATCCCTCTGAAGCTGGCTCCTCTGCCTCCTTCTTCTGTCTCCTAAGGACCCTTGTGATTGTGTTGGATCTGTCTGTATAAAACAGATTAATCTTCCTATACTGTCATCTGATTCGCAACCTTCATTCTATCTGCAACCTTAATGCCCCCTTGTTATGTAATGTATTATCTTCTGAGGATTAGGATGTGGACATCTTCGAGGTGCCACGATTCTGCCTACTGCAGCCCCTAACGGGTAGACTTAGAGCTGGTAGAGAGAAGCTACTGAGAATCCAATTCCAGGCTGTCCAAAGTTCAGGAAACAAAGAACATTTTAACAGAGCTGTCTAAAGGTAGAATCGATGGCTAGTAAAGACATTGAATCCCCGGCTCCTACAGGACTTCAAGCATAGGCTAACGGGCCGTTTCTTCATAAACAAGTGGTTACAGTGTGCCGAGCACAACGCTAAGCCCTTGTCACAACTTTTATCACATAATCGTCACCCGAGTCCTACAGAATAGACGTCATTGTTTTGGAGAAGATAAACCTGATGCACAGAAGGACAAAAATGAGAATCCCAGCTCTGCTGACCTTAAGCAAGTTCCTTAACCTCACCAATCCTCAGGTTCCCCATCTGTGAAATGGGCAGAATGATGGGGTCCACCTCAAGGGAGAGTTATAAGGATTAAATGTGATAACAGCAACTAATACATTGGTTTATTGAATCTTGTATGAAATATGCTTAGCCCAGTGTCTGTCTTATTGTAAAAGCTTAGTAGCTCTCA